TGTTAATGATTGTATATATATATATATATAACTATATATCAATATTTTGAAATTATATTTTCGTTTTCCATTTTCTTCTCCTAATTTTCTTTTGATTTCTCATTGTATTTATCATCAGAATCTGTGATGTGTGGAAGATAAAACGGGATAGTTACCACAATAAGAAATCACTCAAAATCCTATAGGGATCTAAATTTTATAAATCATACTCAAATTTAACTATTTATAATATTAATATAAAAATTTTAAATTTTCTTACGTTTGAAGATAACTGTCACCTCCGAACCATTTTATGTTTGACCTGTGACACATGTTAAAACTGTCTTAGTTTCAATATTATCATATATGTTACCGTCAATTTTAATAGTGATATATATTATATTATTTATTGTAATGAGATTTTTAGATTAATAATTGTATCTATTTATAGTTTCTTAATTACTTTTTTGTAAAATTTTGTTTGTTTAAAAGAGTTGCATTCATTACAATATTTCTTTAATATGCAAATTTATTCTAGTTTGATATAAAAGAATACAACAACAGAAAAACCTCACAGTCCAGAAAAAAACAAATTTCTATCATAACTTTACATTTAAAAACTCTTCTGTGAACATGTGTTAATGATTATATATATATATATCAGTATTGTGAAATATATTTTCGTATGGAAATAAAATAAATGTATCAACATATAACCAAGAAAATAAGTATTTATAAATATACTATTTTAACATAGTAATGATTATATATTCTTCTTTTCATTAATGTATGTATATTATGTTTAAATCAACTTTCAAAAATATTTTGATACTCAGTTATATGTTGTAAATTTACTAGTCGTTCAAGATTTTATTTCAAATTCAATATCTATAGTAAAATAATAAAAAAACAATTTTATTTTAAATTTCTTCTCAATATATCAGTTCAATGTTCATTGACATGTCTCTAAAGATCATGGGTCTGATTGGTAAGGGCTGTAGCTTTCATTTTTTTGCTGTAGAATAAATGCTGTAGATTTTTTGCTGTAGCTGTAGAGTTTATTGCTGTATAACTTTGGCTGTAATATTTTAGCTGTAGGTTTTATTTTCTAAAGCATGATTGGTAAACATAGCTGTAGATTAGTATTATATAAATATTAAATAACACATAGAAACAAAATAACCTTATAATAATATAATAATTTTACTGAATAAATAGAATATAGGAATTCTAAAAAAAAAATCATAAAAACTAAAATAAAAAAAAAACTTTTAGTATAATAATAAATCATAATTAGTTTTATCCACGAGTATTCCATAAACCCATTGCAATGTTATCTCGTAATCCTTCCATGTATTGCCTCGAACCAGCCCCTTCTTCTAAAACTGCTTCAGCGTCATCATTCATTGGAGGTTGTTGATCATTATCCTCCCTCCAATCAACATCAAAGTCAGGATCATGTATGCTTGATTTACGTACAAAGTTATGTAGCGTCATAGTTGCTGCCACAAGCTTTCTTGTTGTTCCAATGTTGTACCTTGCCCTATCTTGCATTATCCTCCATTTCCCTTTCCACACTCCAAATGTTCTTTCAATGACACATCGAAGTGAGGAATGACGACGGTTAAATTTTTCCTTATGATTACTAGGTGGAGCTTGATTCTGAAACTGATTTTGATGGTACCGAGTTTTCCTATAGGGTCCCAAATATCCACGCCGTAAAGCATATCCTGAGTCAACAAGGTAATACTTACCTAAAGGTGGATGTGGAAAATTAGGATCACCTTGCATAGCTAAAGCAAGTACTTTTGCATCATGAGCAGAACCAGGTATACCAACATATATGTATGTGAATAACATATCCATGTCGCAAATCACAAGAATATTCATACTGCAAACGCTTTTTCTATTCCAGTATCGTTGTTGATCTCGTTCCGATACGACGACAGGCACATGTGTCCCATCCATTGCACCAATAAAACCTTTGAAGAACGACCAATAATGCTTGTCAGATCGCAACTTAGGATGAACTTGAGTGAGACTCGTATGATTTGGTTTAAACATATCTTTTGCCATCTGCTCCATGACATCAAGAACCTCATGGAATTTTATGGATATTGTCTCTTGTGAATGCCCAAACATTCTCATGGCATTTCGCTGGGTAATGTTATGACCACTAATATGCAAAAACATTGCCACACTCTCTTTCACCGTCACATTATGAGATGATCTCATCTTGTATTTCTTTTCTATGGTATCACATAGCTCAAGAAATACTGCAGGACGCATTCTCAGAAGAAAATGACACTGGTCTGGATGACCGTGAATCAACTCCTCAACAAATTACCGACCGCGGTCAGGATGTGCACACAGTCGTTGCTTAACAATATTCGCTGTTATATAGTTATTAAATAATTCAGAATCATCTTCATCAGTATCATCCACCATTTGCCAAAACAGTTGGACAAGCTGTATATAAAAAAAATAATAATAATAAACAATTTGTAAATTATCACTCAAAATAATTATTCTTTAGATCCAAAAATAAATAAAAAACCAACAAAATCAATAAAAACCAAGTAATTCAAATCTTCTAAAAAAAATCTAGGAAAAAAATATTAAAAAAAAAAATCCTATTTTAATGATTAGTCATCATGTTTACAACCCATCATTTGTTCAAGATAAAGAAGTGCAAACTTGTTTTCTGGGATTCCTAAAAACCATCTTCTAACACTTTCATTTGTAGACAGTAAATTAGTTGCATCCCAGTAAAACGAGGTTCCAAATTCAATCGCTTCTATTTGATGCAGTCGTCGAGCAGCAATGGTTATGTCAGAAGTTAAAGCCGATGACATCTCCAATGCTGCATGTTTAATTGCTTCAGAACGTTCACGAAAAGCTTTTGACAAATCTGACTGGCTATCAATGTTTGTAGCTCCACGTTTACGTTTATTTCGTTGTTCATGGTTTGGTCTTTCATCAGAAGGTGTATGAATGGTGGTTGGTGTGGATTGCATGTTCTGAGTTTGTCCATCTAATCGAGTAGAGAACAACACGTCTGGATCATCACCAACAAATGATGTGTTCATGTCAAATTGTGTTCCAGTCTCATATCCATGTTGAGAACGATACACATCAGAACCATTTCCAACTGACCATCCATCTTCAACTCCTATGTGAGTTCCACTAAACAATTTTTCCAATAAGTCTTCATTTGCTAAAGATTTCTTTTTAAATCTTCTAGCCACTTCGTTTTCCTAATTTTTAAATAAATTTGTTAGTATCTTATTTTGTGCTAAAATATATTGAAAAAACTATTTTAGAAATTTGATGTGGTTACTTGTATTCGATCATTCCACCACTCGTCTTCTATATTAATTACTCCCGTGATACGATCAACAGTTACTCCGGTATACTTGCATAGTCGATTGTAGCAATCGTACCATGTTTTCAAGTTACGAAGATGGTTTGCAAAATTTTTCCATGCTAAATCAAATCCAGTAGCTTCTTTAAAGTTCTTCCTCACTCTTAATTTTCCTTCTTTTGTTAAAGTTTTGTCTACCCAATTTTTTTTATCAAGTTCAAGTAAAAACATCTCTATGAATGTTCGAGAAATTTCGTCTGTCCACTTAATATTAATCTATGACAAAAATACATATATCAATAACTATTTTTTTCTAAATTAAATAAAGAAAAGAAAAGTATTTACCTCTCTCTGAGTAACTGATGTCACATTTGTGTTGTTTGATGCACCATTGTTTGCACCACCATTGTTTACGCCACCATTGTTTTCACCACCATTGTTTACGCCACCATTGTTTTCACCATTGTTATTTGCCATATCTTACAAAAATTATTAAAATATATATTAAATTAGCTAGATCATATATAACCATACTGAAAAAGAATGAAATATCATTCAAATCATATATGACAGTATAATAATATATGCACAAAATATTATGAATTAATATATTAATTAAGATCAATTTGATATAGAGGCTTATAAAATTTGGCAAGAAGCATGAATAAAATGTGTATTTACGTGGATCAAGGAGATGACCTGAATGAGAAGAACGTGAGATGCATTTAATTTTAGTGCATGTTAAAAATTAATTTTATCGTAAAACAAACTAAGATCTTAACCACGAGAGATTCACAACGTTCATATATTAAAGCAAACTAATGTAAAAACTACTGCATAGTTAAATTAGTATGAGAGAAAAAATAATTCATGTTCAACTATTAAAACTCTAATTACTATAACAAAAAATCTAATATACAACTTAACAACGAGTTTCTTTCTCAAAAACTTAAAACTATTTCATAATCGAATTACTATCACACTAACTTTATAGAATATCAGATGAGCTTGTGTAATATTAAACATAACATATTATTGTTTTTTTCCATGAAACTTGTGTTCATAATCATATTTCATCATACATCAATAATATAAAAGCAGACAAGATACACAAAATAAAAACGAAAAAAGAAAAGATAGGTTACGTACCTGGAATTTTTTGCCTCTTCTTAACAAGTTTTTCTGGATTTTTGTTTGCCTCTCTTACGTTAGTATATATATGTTTATAGTTAGGGTTTTTAGTGTTTATCTTAAGTTTAGTTAGTATTAGTGTTTATCTTGCTTTTAAAATAAAAAGTTAAATAAAATATATTTTTTTCTCCTGGAAAGCTCATACAAAAGAGCTGTAGATAATTAGCTTTCTAGAGCACTAAAGATACGTATCTTTTATAAATTGCTGTGAACTTAGTTTTTTTTTATAAATCTTGATTGCTATAAATTTAGTGCTTTAAACTTAAATGGTGCTGTCTACAGCTTCCACAGCTGTTACCAATGTTCCAAAAACATTTCAAGTGAAAAACTTAAAAATTTCAAAAAGGGACCAATCAAAATCTGAAACATATATATATATATATAAATATCTATCATTTATCTTTATTTATATTTGATTTTTAAAATGCATACATGAAAATATCAATATTTTAAGAGAATGTGTAGATTAATTAATTGGTTTCACGTAAATGAGATCCCGATAATCATTCCAAGCCTGTTCGAATAATTCTACCTCGTAGATCTTAATTCCTTCGTTGCATCCATCATTGACATTCAAAACTAATCGGTAGTTTATGCCTCCTACCAATTGCTTATCACCAGAAACTACAGTCTGAAAATTGAGTCTTGAGTCTTTGTGTTTGTTGTATTCTGAGATGGCAAACTTGGCAATGACTTCAAGAGAAGGATCTTTAATATCTTCTATGGGTTTCCATTCACATCCACCTACGAAATCATCATTGTCTTCTTCATTTTCCATTTTTCTTCTCCTTTTTTTATTTTGCTTGTTTTCTTTAGATTTCTCATTATATTTATATTCAGAATCTGTGACGTGTGGGAGATAAAAAATGGATTTTTACCACAATAAGAGATCACTCAAAATCCTAAAAGAATATAAACTTTATAAATGATAATAAAATTTAATTTAATTTATAGTATAAATATAAAAAATTTAAATTGGCATACGTTTGAAGATAATTGTAACTTCCGAACCATTTCATGTTTGACATGTGACACATATGGAAAATATCTAAGTTTCAATATTATAATATATGTTACAGTCAATTTTAATAGTAATACTAGATTTTGACCCGCACTTTAAAAGTGCGGGATATTTTCCATTGTAAAAAATCTAATTAAAACACACTAAACATATTGTTATGGATGTTAAAATAAGAAAATTGTTCTATTTAAATTCATCTTATTTAGAAGTCATACCGTTAGTTATAACTCGTTTAAATTGAGACACTTGGTTTAATTTAATTAGACCAAGTTAGTTATAAATTCTTCTGAAGCAGTGAATATGTGTTATTTTATATTCTTATGTATAATTACATATATTACTTTATAATTTATAAAATAATTTATATATTGGTTATTTATATATATATATATATATATATATATATATATATTTATTGATTGATATAATTATGAGTTCTTTTTATATGTTTTGAGAAAATGTGAGTATTAGAATAAATGCAAAAGGTTTGAATATAGTTAGATAATTAATTTTTAAAAACATGTTAGCCAATGTAAAACAAAACATGCAACCTGGTTTTGATCAAATCTGGTATGAATATTTAAATATATCTTCAAAACGTTAGTAAGACCTTATTAAAAGTAGATATATATTTTAATAACAAAAATTGGGAAGTATAATTAAATAGTAAACAAAATCTTGAGAGAATATATGATATATATAGATGGTATAAGATATTAAATGTTGCAATACGATTGTTTTATATTTATGATAAAAATAATTAATTGATTTATGCATAAAGGTAGGAATGACATGATTTGTAAATAATTTTAAAACTAATGGCAGAATCCTAATAGGGATTCTGCTTTAATAGTATAGATATTATATTTTATTGTAATGAGATTTTTAGATTAATATATGTATCTAGTTTTGAATTCTTAATTACTTTTTTGTAAGATTCTGTTTGTTTAAAAGAGAGGTCATTCATTCTAATATTTTTTTAAGATTCGAATTTAATTTTGGTAGAGATATATATTCTAGTTTAATCTAAAAATAAAAAGAAATCTCACAGTCCAGAAAATACAAATTTCTATAATAAATTAATACTTGAAAAAAATTCTTAACATGTTAATTTTTTTTTGTCATCCATGTTAATGATTATATATATATATATATATATATATATTTATTTATTTATTTATTTATAACAATATTTTGAAATATAAATTTACTATTTTAGCATAATAATGATTAAATATTCTTTTTTTTCCGTTAATGTATGTATATTATGTTGTAGAAACAAAAAGAAGGGAAGATGTGTTCTTATTTAATTAACTTTCAAATATATTTGATACTCAGTTATATATTGTAAATTTACTGGTCATTCAAGATTTTATTTCAAATTCAATATAATAAAATAATAATTTTTTTTTGAATTTCTTCTTAATATATCAGTTCAATATTCTTTCGGGTATATGGTTGGAATTCTTTTTCTCGGAAATAAAAATATTTTGGCCCAATATATTTAACTTTAAAACAAACTAGCTTTTGACCCGCGCGTCCGCGCGGATGTATGTTCTATATAATTATATGTTTGTGTTAATTGTAAAAAAAAATCATATTTTATATTTCATAGATTATTGAATTTTAATGTTAGTATATCTTGTTCATTTTGTTTTATGTTTTTTTTTTAACTATCAGATTGTATTTTTATAGATTGTATTTTTTATTTGGTAAACTAAACAATTAAGTGTAAAATATTATAGTATCTTGTTTAAATTGTGTGTTTTATTAAACTATATTATAAATTTTGTGATTGATATTATTATTTTAAATTAGATTTTATAAATATTTTTTAAAAATAAATTATTTAGACAGTGAAAATAAAAAAATAGACATTTACAAAATAATAAAATCTCTAGTAATTTATTAACAAAAGCCTTTTTGTTAAATTGAGGTGGGTAATTTGATTTTAGGCAATTTGGTTTTAATTTAAAATTAGTGGATTTTAAATCTTCATTAAACCCATCTGAAATTAAATGATTTAACTCCAATGGCATGAGATTGTAATTTTTGTGGAAAACTAAAGGATATTTTCTATTTGTACTTCCCTTTTAATAGTATAGATGAATCATCTATTTAAGAGAGAGTAAGATATAGAGAGAGAGAGAGAGAGAGAGAGAGAGATCTAAAACATATATAAAGCTCTTTTTTTAACACTGGTTAGAAAAAAAAACATATATTAACTAGTGTTAAAAAGAAGATATATAAAGCTCTATCAGTTATTTTTTTCATTGCATACATAAAAATATTAATATTTTAAGTGACTGTATTGATCAATTAATTGGTTTCATGTAAATTATTTTCACGTAAATGAGTTTCCGATAATCCATGTTAATGATTATATATATATATATATATATGTTTATAACAATATTGTGAAATTAAATTTTTCTATGGAAACTATAATATGTTTTATCACATAACCAAGAAAATAAGTAAACATAAATTTACTATTTTAGCATAGTAATGATTAAGTATTCTTCTTTGCGTTAGTGTATGTATATTATGTTGTAGAAACAAAAAGAAGGGAAGATGTGTTCTTGTTTAATCAACTTTCAAATATATTTGATACTCAGTTATATGTTTTAAATATACTAGTCATTCAAGATTTTATTTCAAATTTAATATAATAAAATAATAATTTTGTTTTTGAATTTCTTCTTAATATATCAGTTCAATGTTCTTTCGGGTATATGATTGAATTCTTTTTCTCGGAAAAAATATCGTTGGCCCAATATATTTAACTTTTAAACCAACTAATTATCTATTTAAGAGAGAGAGAGAGAGAGGTTCCAGTTCGTGAGAGAGATCTAAAACTCTAATTTAGTACATAATATGTAGTATATGAAATTTAATATTAAAATTAAATTTAAAAAATTATACTCACTTCATAAGAAATAAAATGTGTGAGGCAATTCTTTTTATAGACACGTCTCTAAAGATTATATTCGAAAAATATTTCAGGTGATATTTTATAATTCAAATAGGGACCAATCGAAATCAGAGAAAAAAATATAAAGCTCTATCCATTATTTCTTTTTAAGTGCATCCATAAAATATTAATATTTTAAGAGAATGTGAATTACTTAATTGGTTTCACGTAAATGAGTTTCCGATAATCAAACCAAGCCTGTTCGTATACTTCTACCTCGTAAATCTCAATACATCATTGCATCCATTATTGACTTTCAACACTAACCTGTAGTTCATGCCTCCTATAATTTTATCACCAGAAACTAGTGTCTGGAAATGGAGTCTAAAGTTTTTCTTTTTGTTGTATTCTGAAATAGTAAACTTGGCGATGACTTCAAGAGAAGGATCTTAAAATCCTTGATGGGGTTATATCCACCTAAAAAATCATCTTTATCTGATTCATTTTCTATTTCCTTCTCCTTATTTTTTTTGTTTTGTTTGTTTAGATTTCTTTGTATCAGAATTTTGTGATTTGTGGGATATAAAAAAATGGATGGTTACCACAATAAGAGATCACTCAAAATCCTGAAAGAATCTAAAATTTATTATCATATATAAGTTACAGTGAATTTTAATAGTGATATGTATTAATATTATTTATTTTAATGAGATTTTTAGATTAATAATTATATATAGCTTTAGTTTGTTAAATACTATTTTTGTTAGACTTTGTTTGTTTAAAAGAGCTTTCATTCATTCTAATATTTATTTAAGATGCAAATTTAATTTTAGTACAAATATATACTAGCTGCATAACCCCGCGCAAGCGCGGAGCCGGGATCTATGTTTTTTTCGGTTGTTGGTTTAATCGGTTATTTCTAATAGTACCAAATAATGATGAAATGGAAAAAATGTATCAAGAGTGTAAAGTGAAAATATTATATATATATATATATATATATATATATATATATATATATATATATAATGTGTTAAATGTTATTTATATACGAAATAAGGTTTATAGGAATAACTAAATTATAATATAGTTTTTTAGTGTATAAAAATAGGTATCTATATTGTTTTTTTTTTATGTTGGAAATAGTTTTTATATCGGATGTCAAAACTTGATAAACATATTTATTTATAGTATTTATATTTGTACTAAACGATTTATCAATTTGAAAATAACTTTAATTTAAGCTAATATTTGTTGTTTGGGTTTCAATAGATAGGTTTGGATATGATTTATCAATTTGAAAATAACTTTGTTTTTTTTTTACTGTTCGTTTTTGGATCCATTTTTAATTGTTTTGGGGTTTAAGTTCGTCAAACTTTAGGATTTTTTCACTATTTTGGACTTTAAACAATAAGTCCAGAGGAAAAAAACATTAAAACTAAAAAACCCATATGATAATAATCCAAACAAAAAAACTAAAATACATAACAACTGTGCGGTTTGAACCCACACACTTGCAGACTTAATTAGATGCCTTATACCACTTTGCTAAAATGTATTCATTGTTCACAGTCATTTTAAAAAAAACTACGAACTTTTAAAATTTAAACGCGCGGAACCCACAAACTTGATGACGTGGACAGCTTTAGGAGCCTTAGAAGTTAACTAACATTAAAACTAAAAAGCCTATATGATAATAATCCAAACAAAAAAAACTAAAAGACATAACAGCTGCGCAGTTTGAACCCACACACTTGCAGACTTAATTAGATGCCTTATACCACTTTGCTAAAGTGTATTCATTGTTCATAGTCATTTTTAAAAAACTATAAACTTTTAAAAT